ATGTGCTTAATAAGGTAAGACAATGTAATAATGTTTAAAACATTAAATGTATACATTATCGTTATAATTTTTGTGTTTTAGTATTCCTATATTCGGAAAGTTATGCCAGCGGTATTACGATGCTCCATCTTGATCTTACTGGCAATGCTGCGGTAACTTCAGATATAATCAGTCATGATGTAGAAGAGAGGTTACGCTTAATGTTAATGTTAGAAGATCCTAATATTGTGTTCGACTTGTGAACAAATAATGGATTTAAAGGAACAAAATTTAATGCATTTTGGGACGAAACTGATGCCTACTTTAATGAACAGGTAAATTTTATATTTGCTTACCATATGAGTAATGCAGGCACTCTAATCATATAAATTTTATATGATTAGAGTGCCTTTTCTCTTAGTATCACTCATATTGATTATGTTATGTTATAAATATCTATTTCTTTAGAATTTTCTTGCAGTAAATGAATGGCGACATGGAACTATTTTATATATGCCATTAGCCTTGTCAATTCGTGACCTTCGTGAAATTATAATAGAAAGATTAAAAATTAATTATGGCGATCCTTTACCTTCTGATATTAATATTCCATCCGATGAATAGATTCGCCTTCAATTTTGCCTTACGAATGCTACCACAATGCGAGCTGCATATTATACTAGTCAGTTTAATGTTAAATTTAAAGTACAGGGTCAGATGCTTCAAAAAAATAGTGAAGATGCGCATTATTATGCTGCACTCTTCCGATATCTCAGAGAATTTTGTATTCAATATTGTCAATGGACTTGTTTAATTTCTGCAGATGATAAGCATAAAGTTCCTATTGGGGAAGATGTTGCAGTTTCTACAGGTGTACGAAATTGACGTTCAATAGTTGGACAAGAAAGTATTTTGGCAGCCGCTGATCACGATTTTTCAAAATTATCTTTAACTCCCTCTGTAATTTTTTTTATATCTATTCCTAATGAAATTTCTAGGTCATTTTATAATGGCCAGGTGTTTGTATCATATAAAGATACAATTTTTGAACCAAGCTCTGCTATAAGACATTCAACTGAATTTTTAAATGTGCTAAATATTCAATATGCAAATCAAGTAATACTGCCAATTTTATGTCTTTATACTGATAGAGGCCCAGACCATCATTGTAATTATAGTTCAGTACAAATTGTACTAATTAGTTTTTTTCTTTGTGGCGATTTTGATTTACTTGTCGCAGTTCGTATAGCTCCTCATCACAGCTGGACAAATCCTGCTGAAAGAATTATGAGTACTTTGAATTTGGGTCTTCAAGGTGTAGTGCTTAAGCGTGATTCAATGAGCCTTGAATCTGAAACTTTATTTGGGATGGCTAACACCTTAGGTGATATATGTAAAAAAGCTCAAGAATCTGTTAAATTAAAATCTGAGTTAAAAGAAAGTATTAGAGGCGTTCAAGAAATATTAAATAACAGAACTGAACAGCTCAAACTGAAAGATAGCAAGTTTAGATATTATTTCCCTGCGAATCAAGAAGCCATTACTGAAGTATTCGAAGTAAAGAAAAGTGACACTTTATAATAATTTTATCTAATATTAGAGATTCTTATTAACTTTCCATTGTATTTACTATTTTACATATGAAATTGTTAATTTTTGATCAGTCAATCTTCAGTATAGATCCGACATTAAAAATCAAAGAAACTATACAAGTACAAATACGCAATCATTTAGCATTGGTCGAATTTATAGATACTCACTGCCAAATGCGTGCCTATAGTTTTCAGGCATGTAAACAATTATTATTAGAGTGTTTCAAGGTTGTTCTTCAAGATTGCAAATATTACTAATTACAACAAAATTATTACATATTTATATATTAATATTAAAGATAAAAAAATGCAATAGTAGTTCCTGTTTATATTGTAAACCAATTCGTCTTCTATTACATAAATTTGGAAATTTAAGCTTTCTTGCAGATCCGGTTCCTTCAAAAGGTAAATTTATTTACTTCAAGATTAAATTCAAATAATTACATATTAATAAATTTTAAATTAGATAATATGGACCATTATGCAACCTTTCAAGATATTTATGGAACTAAAACAACTGAAGAACATAGACCAACATACATGCAATCACAAGCAAAATCTGAACTAATTCCAAAATCTATTCTAATTGCGGAAAAAATTCGTGATTATATTGATTGTAAAGATTGCTGGAAGCATCGCTGTGTGTATAGTAATAAGTCTTTAACCGATGATGAGTTATATGACTTTCAACAAACATTAGAGTTATATTCATATTCATGTGGTGCGCCAATTTTTCCTGATGATCATTATTTGAAGGACGTAATATTTGTACGTACACAAATTAGCTGTGATTCGCCTATTGAAATATTATACTACTCAAGTCACAAAGTGGGAAATTATCAGATTTGTTACTATTGCAGAAATAGTGATAATTTGGTATCTTTATCTAAATCTTTAAAAGAACGTTTTAAGCAGATTTATCTACTATGCGAAATTTGCCAGGAAAATAGAAGAAGTTTTTATACGAGAGCGGAAATTAAGACCAATAATAGAGATGCAAAACGTCTTAAAAAATAAATTTTATTCGTTATCGAACAGTAAAAGTATTGCAAAGGTGAAAATGAGGATGTCAATTATTGTATTAAAAAA